CGGTCGAGTGAAAGTTTAGCGTTCAAAAAAAATTCGAGAGTTCGCACTCATTTGAAATCGGGTGTAATGTGCCGACATGGACTATAGCTAGACTAGCCGTTCTTTCGTGTGGGATCAAAATTCTTTCAATTATGGCACAATGCACATGCTCATTAGAAGTTCAATATGCATTATCACTGTTTTCGCATTTTTTTAGCTTTTTTCTAAAATGATAACAATTTCTGAATGTTGGAGTTCTACAGGTCGCCTGCGGCTCGAATCCCGATAAAACACGCACTTTCTATAAACAACTTATAAAACTTATTAATAATGCATGAGCTATTACTCCAATAAGGGCTGTCCATTTCATCAGCTGATTGACCTTGTAAATCTAATACAACACTGTGATACAAGTGGTCCAGAGTTCGTAATGTGATATCAGAGGGGCGATCGTGAGACCCGAAGGCAAACTTCTGACACGAAAAAAAAAAAAAAAAAAAAAAAAAAAATTATACGCGCTGAATTTTCTGACTCGTGACCCCTTGAAGAGACGGTTCTACGTTCACCATCGTTATGTAATATACGGAGATTATCGATGTAACGAAATTTCCATGACTTTAGACTGCGAAGTAAAAACGTACGTACGGCAAATCATTGATATTACTTAGTCAGTGACAAACTTCCCCACGAATTAGTTTGAAGTGAATGCTTTCTATGTGGCAAATGAATAAAAGTTGATTTTCTGTATTATGTAATCCTGGAAGTGTCGGCATATTCGCGTGAATAAAGTGCTCATTAGGGCTAGTTATTTGCTCATTTTAATGCTAATACTGAAACTTAATTAGCATACTTATTTCAGTAGTCAAACCCTAACACTTGAATTGGCTCCGCGGCACTTCTAATTAAGAAAGGATTTAACTATCTAGGCCTATGTCACGATTGAGCACGCTCTAATGTTAGTTTGATAATATTATTATATCAAATAAATTGTAGTCCATATTACATAGATATGCAATATATTAGACATGCAACATACCGGGTTTGATGATCAAGCACGGTGAAATGGCTGTGCAGCTTTAGACTTCAAACTAAACAGAGCAACGTTACTTATAACATTCCATCTCCAGGTTTAACCTCGGATATGATTATTTTGAGCAAATATGAATGAAGACAACCAGGCGTTAACATTTAAACAATGCTTAAACATGACCTGGAGCATTGATATGTAGTGCGGTGTCACGTCCATGGTTACAGTCGTTACATAATCAAGATATCAGTATTTTGAAATGACAGAATGATTATTTTATGTCTTTTACAACCGATAATTGGACATTTGTTTTGCTTTGATTTGCGATACTAGTTGCCCACACTTCATACCTCAAAACATTTTCTCTAATATTTTATTCTTTTCTTAATAATAGCTTTTGCACTGAATTACACTTAAATCACTCATTCACAAGCTAAGCCTCCCATATTTCCCACTACACGCATTCACAAGCTAAGCCTCCCATATTTCCCACTACATACTACCGTGTGTATCGTCGAAGTATGTCGGGATGCTTACGAGACTGACTTGGAACTGAGATTTTTACATAAAAAAGAAATAGAAATAAAAAACTAAGAAGTTTGGTCGAATGTCGGAGTAATCTCAAATATCGCCAAAATCACCCCAACTCGCTCAAATTCGATTTAAATTGTTTGTGTATATTTGCTAAAATGTATTAAATCGCTAYAGTCTCTAAAAGTTACGGCGACAACAACTCCGTAACCCAAAGAAGTCACTCGATCAGAATCGCACCAAATTCTCGTTTTATATTTAAATCGCACAAAAATGTTAGCTCGATCAGAGTTAAGGCAACTTCATGGGTCGAAGTAGGCCTGCATATACCTCCCACACTCAAAGATTTATCAAAACTTAAAAAATTCTACTAGCTTGAACTTCAAAACTTGGCTTTCCTGTCACTTTACAAGAAAAAAATGTAYACTTAAGAGCTCAGTCCATTCTAAAAACAAAATACCCATAAATAAATGTAAATAGGGACCAGGACCCTGACACTATTTCGTCGCTTGCGAGAGATGGTCGTTTATCGTTTATGAGAAAGTTTTTTTGTACAGAGTTAATATGGGAAACTGAACAAAACGGGAAATTTAAAAAATGTTCGCTTACGGGAGATGGTCGCTTACTATGTTACTAGAGTGGTYATTCAAAGAGAGTTATAACTGTACTTGTATCTTTAGAGTATCTAAACATTTTCCTTTACTTCTATGTAATTTTTACGTGATTTTAATGAATTTTTCGTACCCACGACTTTAACCACTACCCACGACTTCGTACCCACGACATTTAGGTACACTCCGTTGTGACCTTAGGCAAAGTGTGAAGGCTGAAGTGAGCCCATCCTCTTCAAATATCATCAGATTATCAATGGAGTTATGCAAAATAACATACATCACTATTTGACAAAGAATATGGCACAGAATTCCCGATAACTGGCTTTTCTGATCTTTTCACTCTCCTTTTCCTGATAATAATTGCGCAGTTCCTAAATAATTTAACTTCAAAAAGTGTTAACAAGATATATAATATCAAAAAAGAGGTTTTTTTATTTTATGTTACAATATTTTATGTTTTAAAAAACTGTAAAGCGGCTCACCCCGGCAACTTAAATATTGTAATTGTGAAAAAATTTATAATTGAATCACAGGCATTCAAATCAGTGTTGATTTGACTTCCTCGTCATGTTTTTCCTCTTGATCRCAGAGTATCAACTCGTTGCTCCGATTGCGCTTCTTTCCACAACAAGGCACGCTATAGTCYAASTGAGCCTCCTCAGCCGCTTCAATGGTCTGTTCCATGTTAGCAAATAAGGTTTCAGGTAAGATTAATGTCATCAGAGCTGCTGAAATACTCAAAACTCCAAAAATACAAAATGGTACGATCAAGGAAACACCAGGTAGTTGAGCCTGAAAAAAATGGAGACGAGTCAATAAAAGCCGCATTTCCATGCTGATGTTGACTACACTATTTCTCTTACTTACCATCATTACAAAGAATGGGGCTAATATGCCGCCAAATCGAGCTGACATCGATCCGGCTCCAACTGACAGATTCCTGAAATGACAGCAGACGTAAAGAAAGATAAAAAAAAAATCTCCATTAATCATCGAATAAGAGAGAAGAAGAGAAATATGACTGCAGCTAGCTTATCGTATATGAAGAGAGACGGTGTGGTGACCTGAAGGTTAAGGTGTAGGTCCACAGGCGTGTACACCTGTTTTTTCGATCCATTCGATTCCTACTCTGGGAAATAATTTTGTGGCTTAGGCATTATGCAGATCAATATAGTCAGCCATTTACCTTATGACGGTTGGAAACAGCTCAGAAGTCCATATATAGATAAGCGTGAACTTACAACCCGTCACAGCTTTGCCTACGATTGCCATTACCGTTCCCAATAGAGGTATATCTAGAAGTACAATCGGTAGTTAGTTATGATTAATCAGTCTTCTGAAACGTCTGTTCAATCATTAGGCAGAACAATGCATGTCTTACTGTTGYTCTGTCATTTGGACTTTACCTTTTGGAAGGAATGGTAGTGATACAAGAGTGACTGCAGCCAGGAACATAAAACCAGTGAAAGTAATACGACGCCCGAAACTAAAAAATACAATAAACTGAGGAAACAGCTGCAAACCATTGATAAAGTAAAAACTCTACAGATTGTGCTAAATTTCCATAAATTGCAAGGGTTTTTATTACGAGAACGACTTACCGAGCAGCCAAGAACCACATAAAACCAATCATCGGGATATCAGCAAGGTGCATTACGAGTGTATTAATGAAAACGTCACCGTAGAGCCTCGTCACAAACAAGAACATGGCGAAGTACAGCAAAGCCACGACAAACCTATATTATCATTTATTTACATGTATGTCATTCATAACAGGAACCATTTATGATCGTGCTTTATGCAATATAAACTTACCAATCGTAGCATATAACTAGGCTGAAACGTCGTATCCTTGGTGTCTTGCATAAGTCATTGGCATGAAATGTTTGACGCTCAACATTTTGTTGTGCAAGCTGAGCGTTCCTGACTTTCTCTAACGTGGATCTCAGTTGTTGCTTGTCTACAGGCTTATCCTTTTTGCCACCAAACTTTTCGAGGAYGGTTTGAGCCTCATCCAATCGACCTTGAGCTACAAGCCAACGCGGTGATTCTGGGAAAATCCTAAAAGTATGAAGTTTAYATCAGTGATCTCMCAGAGTAGTGACGTCTCGGAAGTTCATCCCCAAAGTTCTTTACTTACAGGTAGAATGGCAGGAAGAGGAATCCAGGTATAGAACCAGCAATGACTGTGTGTCGCCAGTAAGGAAAGAGGTATGCTGTCAATACATCTATTGCTCCTCCAATTTTCCAAAAAAGGGTTGTAGCTATACCAGCAAAGGTTCTTTTGGTTGGTCCAACGATCTCAATGGACAAAGTATATTGTGATACCATGAGAGAACCCTGGACAAAACCACCACAAAACCGAAAAATGCTAATAACAACTGGTGAACTAACGAAGGCACAGCAGAGAGAAAGAGAAGACTGAAAAAAAGCAACAAAACTATCAATGATGTTGATTTGTTTTGTATAGATTTTATTTTCAAGGCTCCACGTGTATCCGAGAACCTTTGCGCGCTATTCTCGCATACGGAAAATCACCATCTTGGTTATGGAACCTCTAGTTTAATTCATTTACGTCTTGAACTGATCTAATTTTTCGCTTGACCATGAAAACGTCACATTGTAGCATTTTTTRACCTTAAAAAAACAAGAACCAAATTATAAAGGAAGGGGACGCCACTTTACTTGTGAGATTGTCAACAATGCAGCTCAAAAATAAAATCCCTCACAGGAAAAAAATTCGTACAAGAACAGTTATTTAGAATAACAGACCCCCGTCGGCTCCTCCTGACCCATGATTGAATATTATACAAACCATCACTAAAAGATTGCCAAAGATGCATTTCTTTCTTCCAAATTTATCAGCAAACCATCCACCAGCGATGGAGCCAAACAGCATCCCCCAGAAATAACTTGATTGTATTATTGCACTGATAAGGGCTTTATCACAGATAAGACCAAACTGAAGAATAATAAAAAAATACATTCGTCACAATCAATATTTGCAAATATAACAAAGTAATTTTCATGATTTTTTTTTCACCGATTCCCGCGAATGATTTTGAATATTTAAAACTCAAGATCATGCTTGCAATATTGACATTGTCATAAAGTTTTGAAACTTGAAATAGAATAATTCGTTGCAAAAAATATAAGCATGATATTTGAAAATGGCTTTGTTGTTTTCTTTATGTCTTTGCAACTGAACAACTTTAATGGATTGATTGACTGTATATTCCTTGGCGGTCAAAGCAAAAACCCTATCGCTACCTCGGTCAACGTTTTGATGCCCGTTGAGAGTTTCGATGAATCAGCTTTAATTGGTTTAAAATCATATTTCTAAATAAATAGTACATCTGTCTAAACGTCTTTTTAAAGGTCTTTTATAGTAAGTCGCAAGAAAAATCTTGAAATCTGTCCAAAGAACTTTATATGTCGCGATACAACGATTTTAGTAGTATTACAATTGGACAGACAGACATACCTCTGACACAGCACTGACGTATCTCTGATCAAATGAATATGATGTACAGTTGTTGCAACATTTGCTTATAGGACATGTCACATTAGATGAATCGCACTGGAACTTTTGAGTTCCATAACTAAAAAGCAGAAAACCAAACTGTGCTGACATTGGGATCTTTAAGGCAGCGATGAACCAATAAACGCAGTTTTGATATCGTCCAAACGACTTGACTTGGTTGAAAACATCGTCAAAATTATCTCCTTCGCTATTATTGATCTCTTGCTTCTTCATGATCTAAAATAAGAAATGGTTTGGTTATATACAGTCTGAACCCATTAACGCTGCTCAATTGTAAAGACACCAGGACAACAACAAGTCATTTACATATACAAATTACAATTACAAATTTTTAATTTTGCAMGAATATATATTCAACATAAACCCTGGTTTCCATATAATCGTTACAATCGCTAAAATCGCCACGATCGCTGAAAATGTGGCTCAACGATYGTAGCGATCATATGGAAACACCCTTCAGCGATCATGTCAGATTCTATCTATATTGCAATTTTTCCTGGGAATTAAAAAAAACCGTTTTATGTAAATGAATTTTTACAAGAATGTTTACAAGTATACAACTCTATGGGATTGACTGAATATCTGGAGATACTTGGAATCGGGAATTTTAACGTATCATACTAGACCGCATGTACAAGACAGCAATATATAGAGGCGCGCGGAGATACGGATTTTATCTTCGCGGAGTGTTGAAAAGATTTTCAACACGAGAAGATAAAATTCGTATAAAATTCTTACTTCCATTATATAGAGAAACCTCGAAATGGAGAAATATAGGTATTCTCAGGTAGATTAAGGCTTGGGTTGAGCCAAATTTGCATAAATTGTGTGTATAAAGAGCTTCTTGCCTTTTCTTTAGTAAGAGATGGTGATATTTTGACTTTTATCGGTGTTTAGCCATGAATGCTAAAATTTTGATATGTTTTTACTTTAAGGGGAGTATCACGTGACTAGCTAGCTTGAATTTTAACTGAAAAATATTCGGTTCAAAATGGGGAGTGGAAATATTTTTCGGATCGTGATGTGTTATATTTCGTTTGGTTTCTATTAAAGAAGGGTTTTCATTTTAGACTTTTTTCTTTGAATAAATGTATTATTAAATGAGTTATTAAAGATAAATGTCACGTGACCTAATTTGCATATTGATTTTTTGTAAATATTGTCTTAAATAATAAGTGAATACAACGAGAAAAGACTATTTCATATATGAACCAACATCAGCTTAATATCAAAGCATGTTTGAACTTAATTGATAAAGCCTCTATACTCCCCATTTTCGAAAAACCGTTTTTGATGCCTTAAAGTCACGTGACCAACAAAATGGCTCATTTGTCATATAAAAGTATTGTGTACCAGGATCCTCAACATGTGTCAGAAATTGGGTTCTGTACTTATTAAGGTTATTGTGCTATCGAAGAATATAAAATTCCGCATGTCGACATAATACCCAAGCCTTAAACTACCTGAGTTTCATAGATAATTCTAAACATTTTGATTAAAAAACGTGAAAGAAGTGTTCAAGTGTGAGCTGTTAAGAAACTCTCCTCAACCCCCTCAGTTTTATCACCGTATTTATCGTCACAAATGAATGAATCCCTGTCGAAGGGATCGCTGACATGTTATGTAATAAGAGGGTTATAAAAGGGGCCTGGCTATCGTTTCGTTTCGCATTCCGGATCTCTTCTCTATCTCTCTTCTCAATGTTTTAATAGTCCAGTTTCGAATTCTCCAATGCTCTGTGTTAGCCGGCATTTAGTGCGTAAAATATTCCTAAAATTGAGAATAAAAGTGTGAGATGTCAAATCAATTTTATTGTCTTTCCTTTCCAAATTCCATGCGTTTTCACGGGTTATCAATGAAACAAAAGAATATGTTGCTTGATTTTAAGGGCTAACACAGAGCAAACTAGAACTTGAAATTGGAGTATTACTTTGTAATGTTTGGTTAAACCTGGAAATGTATGTTATACTGTCTTGTATATTCTACTTATAGGTTATCTCTGTGCTTACCAATTTTAGCGAGTTTTATGCAACAATGTTTCGAGTGTTTCTTCTTGCTTTGGTATTATGTGTGACTGATACAGCACTTCAAAATTTCAAACTGCAACGGCGTCATTAGTTCGCTTTTAACGTAGTGTTTGACTTGGTGTGCATGCTTCGATGACCACACACCCTATAATTTGCATCCACGAGGCCGAACGTAACAAAAGCTGGATTAGTGACTTTAGTAATCCAACAATACTCGGCTTGTTAAATGTTCTTCTTCGACGATGTCTAAAAACCAATGGAGTTTGATCATCCAACTATCGCTCATTTGTGTTTCTTAATTATTCAAACTTACAAGGCAGAAAAACAAAGAAAATAATACAGGGCTGTTCTGAACAATCTCTTTCCTGATAGAAGGTTTCGGTCTAAATAGTAATTAAAACACTTGGCAACCTTGTGATTGTGTATGCGGTTAATTATTTTGAATTGTTAGACATATTTTAAGAACCTTAAGAAGTTTCTTGTAGGTCGCCAAAATATTTGATAAGCACATGTTTGATGTTGCTTTGTGATTAATTGCGCTTTTTATAGAACAGTATGGTGCATTATGCGTGATTCGATAAGAACCAGACTATAATGCACAGCCAATTTATCCTAGGACTGGAATATACACCTCCTTGAACGTTGGTAGTCCTGCATGAATCGTAGTAGTACATTGTGGAAACTATTAATGATACCCTGCGAACAAAGTGTATTTTACCTTACCTCAATAGCGAATTTTTTACTGAGGTAAGGTAAATAACACTCTGTTCGCAGGGTATATTAATAACCGCGAGCTCACGAGACTGAAAAAAGCCATGTTGTCAATAAATCGTTTGTGAATTACACTGCTAGCAGCCCTTAGGTTGCGTTTGACATAATTGTAAACAAGATTACCTACTTCGTTCGAGATCGACCACCAGTTACGACCAGAGTCAATACCCTCGTGCTTTTGACAAAGTGTTCCGAACTTAAATGCAAATTGGTCACGAAATTACATGTAAATAGTATGAAATATCATAAATTAACAAACGAAGCTCGGTTGCTTTCAAAACCAACACCACTAGAGTATTACGCCAACTGTACAAGAAATGTCCTTGACTCTTCTGTGAGGTACTACGCGATTTGTTTGGTTTTAACTTGCCAGTAGGAGGCTGGGTTCGAGTTTTAAAATTGCAAAAAATTTCCAAGTTACCTATATCATCTTGAGGAGCACATCAAAATTGATAATATCCCCAAGTTTTGTTTTGTTCAGATGACTATCTAAGAACTTTTAAAAAGCTGTTAAAAATGTTAAAATTTACAAAAGAATGGAAAGCATTCCCCACAATCTATAGATGTACACTTGAGTTTTTGAATGGCTATAATTTTTGAAATATTGACTCGATTTCCACCAAACTTTGCCTTTTTATTGATTTAGATTTGCTCTTTCAGATAATGTGATTTGTGCAATTTTAAAACTTGTACCCAGTTTCCTGCTCGGACATGAAAGTTGGCAATATAGTGCATCTACCGGGCGCGATCGTTTCTGGAAATATCATAGAGATATTTTTTGCACCATTCTTCGTTTTGAAGCTACGTCACAGTGGCCAGGAACTTCAAAAAAAATTTTTTTTATTAGTATCTATAGTTCATTCCTCCAAAATACCCGCCGGTGTTTTATCTTTTAAATCTCATGGGAATGGTCGAAAACGATCAATTCCGCAAAATCAAGAGAAGCCGATGGTTTCCTGGAGAAATACATCTGTTCTTATGTCCCAGCCAGCTGTAAGTCACAACTGTTGCCAGCAATGTTATCATATATTCAAAACATTCTTTTCAATCACGTTGAGGGATAGTCTCTTGGAATTTTTTTATCATTATTATTATTAAACAAATTCATTTTTATTTACAATTAATGAGTGATTCTCTACCGGTAACACTCTTGATTTTTTTATAAACATATATGAATTTACACCATACATTTTACATATGTAAGTTTTTTGTTTTTGTTTTTCCTTCTACCCTCCCTTTCCCACCCCCATTCCCATTCCCAATCTTTATCCACACACTCACAAAAACAATTAAATTAAATTCATTAGTTAAAAAAAAACTAGTTATTTATTTGAATTAATGTTATAATGGCTTTCCACTCTTTGAAGTGTAAAGAAAGTTTATTTTTCTGAGAGGCGATAGAATATACTAAGTTGTAAATGTATTTAACACTGTTTAAGTTGCTAAAACAAAACATTTCTTGATAAGGAATGCCATTATAATTATTATGTATAAAGTGATGAGTAATAATTGTAGTATTAAGATGGAGTGTGGAATAACCCCTCCCCCCGCAAAAAAAACTCCTTTCTTTGCATTAACCATTATAGCATTGTCGTTTCCACTAACCCTCTTTTAGCTTGAAGATAGCTTGCTTTGCTAAGAGGCAGTGTATTCATAGCTACAACAAGGGGCCGTTTGGCGTGCGCATGCGCCAGTCTGTTGAAAATTCATTGAAATCCATTAGTGATTCACTTCAAGCGAGAAATTACAACGACACGAAGGACAATTTCCAAAAATGTTTTTGGCTGTTTTTGACCCTGAAATGTTCTGTCATGACTCAAGAACACTCATAAATAGTGTAACCTACAACGAGGAAAAACACTGGCGTCATTGGACTGATTGGGACCGTTTAAAATCTTATTTAAGAAATGTTGATATTAATGACTTTGTGTTTACAATATGGAGGCTTCAGTGGTTTATATACGCAACTACTATTCCAGTTTTTGCTGAGTGATGGTCAAGATTCAACGCAGGTTATGAAGTAAATGGTAAATGTACACATGTAGTAATATAATTAGGCATCGTTTAGTAACATCGACCTCGAAATGTTCGAAAGACAGTTTCTTGAAGTGTACAATATTTACGCTTAAATATTATTAACTGTTACATGAAATACTACTTTCCTTTTATATACCACCAGGACTCATTAGAATAAGGCTACCAATATCAAGACTTATGCTTTGCAAATGGTTTGATAATGTTTTCTTGTCTATGAAAAATGTGGAACGGTGTTAATTCTGCAAATTCTTACGTGCTGTTGAGCACTCACGACAGATTTAGCGCTCTTTTGGCTGAAGAGTTGAGCTTGTTTGAATCAAGTTATCATAAATATCTATGTGTAGTTCTATAGCTGTATCATTATAAGTTATGAAATAAAATATTGCAGTGCAATCGATTCACATCTTAGGAATTTATTATTGCTAAAAGTGTGCACAAATAATTCACTACATTTTAACGGTACAAAGTGGCTTCGTGTTATAAATCTAGCCCGTGACTCACAGTAATTTATATAATGTTTGAAAGATATTCGTGTGCATTGTAAATATATCTACTTGGTTTTGTTTGGAAAAATGTGGAAGATAAGTAAAAACTTCAATTATGTTCAGAATCCAAGCTTCCGCAGCTGACTACAATGTTATTCTACCCGTATTCTAGAGCCCATGGTCGTTATAACGCAGCGGTTGCGCGCATGCTCATGCATAACGGCCCCTTGTTCATAGCTACAGAAAAGAAAACAATAAGATGCCGCTAAAACTAGTTAATATTGTTCAGCCAAACCTGCCAAGAGCTTGTTCATCTCTAATCTGTGTGGTGGCGGAATTTGCATCCCTCTTTACTAAAATCTTTCCATCTTTGGTCCATACTTTAGTACATTTTCTCTTTTAAGCTTTCTCGCTTTACCAAGGAGCTTGCGGCGCTTGGTCATAAGGTTTTCATTGATGAATAGTTGGTTTACTCCTCCACCAAAGATTGCATCCAGGTCTATTTCCCCGAGTTTTTTCCTAGCTTGATACATTCGCTGCTTAGCTTTGTATGTGCTGAATCTAACGATTATCGGCTTCGGTCGAGGAGGGTATTTCGAAGCTTCTTCTCTGACATTTTTGCGATCGAGGCGATGGCATATGTCAATGTCGGTCGGTTGCAGGTCAACATCTATTGCGCTTGCAATTGTTAGAATCGTTTCCTCGTCAGCAAAGTCTGGTGATTCTGGGATTCCATGAAATTCTAAGTTGTATTTCCTGAGATACTGCTCATAGTCGTCAGCAATGTCCTCAATCTTTTGTGGCACTGTCAGCTCTTCAATGCGTAGCTCCATCTTTGCAACTCTAGTTTTCAAAGCGTCTCGTTCGCCTTCTAGGTTTATTATTCTTTTATCATTGAACTGAGCAAGTTTTTTCAGTTCATTGCTCATCTCTCTGATGGCAGTATTGTCTTCGAGGATTATTGTGGTAGTATTTTGTATATTCATCAACACCTTCCAGACTTCTTCGGGTGATATTGCTTCTTCATGCTTGTCCGCCATTGCTACTTGTTGCTTCTTGGCTTCAGGGGACTTATTGCTCTCAGTGCTTCCAGTACTGCGATTTTTTTTTCTTTTGAGCTTTGTTCTTCCCTCTGCTGTTAGTCATTTACGCTTAAAAGAGCCAGGAATGACTAAGTTTCGTTGCTTTAGGTCAAGGAAATGGTGGAGCGTTCTTAGGCGTGGCCGTCCACCATAACGGAATATGCTAATCCCCTAACCCTCTTGGAATTTTCTTGGATTTTTCCCAGGAAACTTTTCACGACATTTGCACGAAGGAAAGTTCCGAATATCTATTAAATACTCAAGTGCATTAACTATAAAGGAGAGTTTATTCCAATTCAAAATTCTAGTTCTAAATCAGGAAAAAATTCGTATAAGAACAGTTATTTAGAAGAACAGATCAGACTTGGTCTTCTCCTCCTGCAAAATCTTTTCACAAGATCTGCATTAAATCAGCACGTTGAGGATCGTCTTCAATGAAAACCACTACACYAAACAAGTAAGCTAGTCGCAAGGTCATTGACAGATTGATGGTACTTTCGCAAAGGCTCCATCAGCAAATCGGCCATCAATACGGAGTCACAGGTGAATTGTAAATGCGTTATGGAGCGCCACACATCTTCATGCAAACTTACAGTCATCAATTATATGAAGGAACAAATAGTGTCAATAATGATGGTGGCAATGATATATAAAAAATAATTCTACTCTAAATCGTTTGCATTACAAATTTACTAAACGTAATCTTGAGTTCATCACTGAAAGACTATATAAAAGATCAATAGTATGAAATYGAAAATTCCAAATACACAGACAGTTTTTTTTTCGAAATGACAAGTTCTGATGCAAACTAAGAGGTCCCCTGAGCGTGTGCATCCCATAATTCCCTGAACTATCACACTTAATAATTCAAATAAGTGTTGTGTTGACTTCATCGTCCTGTTTTTCTTCTTGCTCGCAAAGCTTCACTTCCTCTTTTTGACTGCCCTTACTCTTTCCACAACAAGGCACGCTATAGTCTAACTGAGCCTCTTCGGCTGCTTCAATGGTCTGTTCCATGTTAGCATATAACGTTTCTGGTAAAAGCAACGCCAATAATGCTGAAGAAATACCCAAAACTCCAAATATACAGAATGGTACGATCATGGATACTCCGGGCAGTTGAGCCTGTAGGAAATAATGGAAAAGAACCGAGTTATTATGATAAGTACAGCCAAGAACTTGAATACTGAGAAGCATTATTATTTGATAGAGAGAGTCGCCATTTCGAAGCTAAGTTTAAAGTTTAATAAAAACCATACATTTCGGACTTGTAACGCACTATGCCCTGTATATCCTGTATCACAGTAAGTCCTTGTACCTCCACAGGCTTCCTTTCCCCTCTTTCTTTGTATACTTGGGCTTTCAGCTTACCTCAGATGGTCGATGGAGGCTGTGACCAAAGTCCCCCACTTTACCAGGCAGAGGAATCCCCAAAAGGGCAAAATTAACTGTCACAGCATAYGATATTCAACCTTTTCAGGGGATTCGTAATTCCCAGCTGACAACCGAAGAGAAACGGCGGTTTTTTATACTTACCATCATAACAAAGAATGGAGCTAAAATGGCGCCAAAGCGAGCTGTCATCGATCCGACACCTATTGATAGGTTCCTGGAAGAACAGTTAACGCTTGTTTTAGTGCTTATATGATAGTTAAGTTTTGTGTGTAGTCTAAAGATGCGAAAGTAACCTTAAGGTCAATCAGGCGGTCCGTTTAAAATTGAATTTTGAGAAGGATAGGTTTTGATTAAAATTTTTAGATACATAATTGCTAGCTTCCAGTTCTTCGTTAATCTGGCAATTAAGCCCTCATCTTTGAGTTAGAGGGCTAAAGACGACAATACAATGGCATTTTTAATAATTTCTTTGAGCTCTTTTTGTCTCCCAAACACAGTTTTAGCTTTCGGGCCGGATTTATTACGCGMCCATGATATGGCTAAAAACYGAGCCGTTTTGATTTAAGTTTAACTGAAGAAGATGAAGAAAGTCAAAAGTGAACGGCTAAGCAGTAGTTTGGACAAAAGATACAGATTCTTGTTCAAGTTCTACAATGAGCTAGATGCATAATTCAAGACTTTCGAKAAGTTGCACTTTGGAATATCAGTTCAAAGTGTTTTTGTTGAAAGACAGGCTGTTGCTTAGTCCTTTAGATCATTATGTCTAAGACCCTGTTTACATGAGATAGGGTGCTCCAGTGGAGGGCACAGGGAAAAGAAAACAAAAGAGCTAGCCCTACCACGTAGGGGTACTCTATCTCATGTAAACAGGGTTTAAAACTTAGTTTTATACCTGACAACGGTTGGAAACAGCTCTGATGTCCGCATATAGATGAGGGTAAACTCACATGCCATTACTGATTTCCCTATGATTGCAAGTGCCGTTCTCACTTGAGGTACGTCTAGATAAGAACAATCGATGTGTTAATCAACCTGTCTGTCATTCACTCTGTCTGTCAATCAGACATATTTACCTTGGGGAATAAATGGCAGTATGAGAAGAGCAATTGAAGCCACGAACATGAAGCCAGTAAAGGAAATACGACGCCCAAAACTGAAAAATACAAAAAACATTCAAAAGATGTGCTCTATACCTTGACACGCAAAATACATGCATCAAAGGGGGCTGGCTAATAACCCGAAAAAACTCCACCTGTTAGGTGGTAAATTCAAGAAAGGATGTGAAATGGATAGATTTAGGGCTTCAAAAGATGTGCTCTATAACTGGACACGCAAAATACATGCATCAAATAACCCGAAAAAATTCCACCGGCGAGGCGGGGTAACTCAAGAAAGCTAGGATGTGAATTTGTTTACGTCATACTTCCTATAATTCTGTTTGGGTCCTAATCACCTCCCCTAGATCCTCTCTTCCACAAACTCTATTTCCATGAAGCGGAAGTGATTTGCAATGCTCGTATTTTCAAAGTCAACTTAACTTAAAAATACTTGGAAAAATCTAACTGTTGATTTGGTGTGATGATTAGTTTTGTGATTGGGCCATAATATACTTAATAGATTCCTGTGACGGTATATTGATGTCGTGTGAAATCAGAGTGAGAGTTTTGTATGTAAGGACCCCCCACGTGACAAATCTTGGACACGACCCTGGTTTACGAGTAGGCCAAAGAACTTACCGAGCAGCAAAGATCCACGTCAAAGCAATTAAGGGAATATCAAAAACGCTTATCAACAGTACATTAATGAAAATATTCCCGTAGAGCCTCGTCACAAACAAGAACATAGCGAAAAACAGCAAAGCCACGACAAACCTTTAAGATTCAAATAGAACAGATCAGCATATCAGATATCAATGTCTATGGCATCCATAATTCCAAGATGGCAAAAATTATTTTTTTCTATTCTATTGGGTCAAAACCGCAATCCCCTTCAAAAACCTTGACACCCATACCGCATCTTACAGTGTTTAGAAGAAGAAATTCAACATCTTTCGAACTATGTATTTCATTTCGCTTAAATCCCCTTCCCCGGAGCAATGTCAAAGTGTGTTTTGATTGACATCCTACTGGTGTTCTATCAAACAACATTCCCCCCCGGACCAACATCCCCCCGGACTGAAGAGGGTTTGAATAGAAGAGAATCGGAATCGGACACTGTGACCATTGTCTCWGTAGGGAGTCAAGGTAGTTGACATCGATTGTGGTTACGGCTTTTTCATCTTTTACTCTGCATTTGAGTTAGCTGAATTTCAAGTTTTCAATGTTGTTTCAGGTTTGGCTGACCACCACGTCGAAAAGATAAATAAATTACCGAGATTGAATTAGAGAGAAATTAGAAAGTCAAACAAAAGCTTTCATGAGCAGTGACTGGTAGCCATCTTGGAACTTTTAATTTAATCCAGCGTTCATTTTTAAAACAAATAACTTGTGATCGTAGGTTTTGTTGATTGCACGGATTTTTCATGATTTTCATCTGAGCTAATTCGCAAAATCAACTATCGGCTTACCAATTGTAGCATGCAACTAGACTAAAGCGCCGAAGTCTCGGTGTCTTGCATAAATCGTGCATATGGAACTTTTGACGAACGTTTTGATTTGCAAGCTGAGCGTCTCTGACTTTATCTAACGTGGATCTCAGTTGTTGCTTATCTACGGGTTTGTTATTTTTGCCACCAAACTTTTCGAGAATGATTTGAGCCTCATCCAATCGACCTTGAGCTACAAGCCAACGCGGTGATTCTGGGAAAATCCTAAAAGTATGAATTAGTAGGGGCACAGTTCAGTACATTTCAGAGTTGGATTAGCACTTTGGTAAATCTATATTGATATGCCATTTCTCTTTTTAATATAATCGTGTCAATTTTGTGCCACTAAATTAAGCGGCAAACTCTAGACATTAGTTATAGCTATTTCAAAAAAGGTTGTCGGATAAAATGGCGAATGTCGATGGTCGAACGGCRATTGCACGACTGAAAGAAGCCATGGGTTTTGCTAGTTGRAAGTCAATAACAACTGATTTGTACTGTAGATAATCTGTGGTAAACATTGGCTCCATTTAGTCTCCATTTCTGTGTAAGGTGAATCCAATAAGTGAAATTCTCTTTRTCAAAACCATAGTAACCATAGTCCCTTTCGGTCGTGCTATCTCCCTTCGACAATCACCGTTCGCCGTTCTCACCGACAACGTTTTTTGAAATAGCTGTATATTTGTGTACAATTAACATTCCGATTGAATTGATGGCTTGAACATTAGTCTAGTAAATACCAAAAACATTTACACACAAAGAGATCTTACAGGTAAAATGGCAAGAAGAGGAATCCAGGAATAGAACCTGCAATGATATGGTGTCGCCAGTAAGGAAAGAAGTATGCAAGGGATACATTCATTGCTCCTCCGACTTTCCAGATTAGTGTCGTGGCTATTCCAGCGAATGTTCTTTTTTTGGGTCCAACAACTTCGATGGAAAATGCATATTGTGACACCATGAGAGAACTTTGGACAAACCCAACACAAAACCGAAGAATGCTAATAGCAATTGGTGAATTGACAAAGGCACAGCAGAGAGAAAAACAAGCCTGAAAAAATGTAACTGAATYAATATGAAATTTGAAGATGGAAGACTTATACTAAGCGTTCGCGCGACCTTTCTTGAAATCCTTGAAAAGCCTTTTTGCTCTTTTTAGAGGGCCTTGAAAAGCCCTTTAAAACTGAAAAACACCTGAAATACTCTTTGAATCTGTCGCAGTCTAAGTGTTGCAGGAAAGTAATAATATAGCAAATACGGCCAGATACTGCTGTTCTACAGCATCATGCGCGAACATTTTCCAAAATCACTTGCGGAAAACGTTCAGATCATTGAAAAGTGTGCACTCAAGGACTATATAGCGCGAGCAACCCAGCTTAAAGCAGGAAGTACTTTTGAAGAAGAACGAAAGCGTATTGAGAATCACAAAGAAATCCCGAATTGTATTCATACTTCTTCTAAGCAACGATAGCATAGCCTCGTTCCTAAACACTAGACACAAAAATACTGGGCCCATTGAAAATCTGAGTCGGTGCTTCAAAATTTTTCTGAAATTGTTTTAAGAGAATTATGGACGAGTAAGGGAGAGAGAATTACAACTGTGTCCTCCACGAGTTCTATTCTAAGGATGTGTCATCAAAATCAGTAGTCAATGCGAGATCAGCACTACCATGGTCAACCAAGAGAACGATTCTTACAAGAGTGCTTCAAAAGAACTTGGAAAATCCTAATTTTTTTATTACAATGTAGCAAATTTCCAGAATACTGTAATGTCTATAAAGCGCATTAATGACATTATATAATTGCGCTTTTGTACTTACCGTCAGAAAGAGATTGCCAAAGATACATTTCTTTCTTCCAAATCTATCAGAAACCCATCCTCCTGCAATAGAACCAAACAGCATTCCCCAGAAAAAACTTGATTGCATGAAAGCAGTGACATGTGCTCGATCACAGATAAGACTCCACTGAAAAAATAATACGAAAAATAAAATATCTTAGATTAGCAGTTATTCTGAAAGCAAAGGTAGGGTGCAGTGGACGGACAGAAAGTGTTGTATTGGCTAGGCKGACTTGTGTTTGTCTCGCAAAAATCCTCTGACTGCGCAAGATCCCCTTGGAAAGAGCACTGCTCGCAGTGGTCYCCTGACTTATCGTCTAGGTGATGTCGTTGTTTTCACGATTGTGCTTCAGGCTAATTTACTCATTTCTTCAGAAAGGTTTATAAAACAGTTTTCCCYTCTTTATACTCTGTTCAAAACGCGAGGGATGTAATTAATTAAGGAGAACGAACGAGTAGCGCTCTTTTTTTGTCAGTTAAAATTTGCAATCATTAAAGGGGTTGACTATCATGTAATCGAGAAGTTTTTGAACTCTTGCTAGCAGTGTGCTTTTTCTTCTAATACAATTTTTCTTGTGAGCCCGGGGGGGGTACTCCCCTATATTCGCTATACGGGGACGTGCCGCCAACCAGGGTATCGTTTTCAGCGATTTTACTCTGGAACTGGGTATCGTTTTTAKYKATTTTACTCTGGAACAGGGTATCGATTTCAACGAATTTTCTCTGGAACAGGGTCAGGGTTAAATTCCGGAATTATTTCGATGCTGGGCAAAAATTCACGGGGTAAAAATTCGGTCTACACGCAAGCTAGTACAAGATTTTCTCTGGAACAGGATATCGTTTTCAGCGATTTTACTCTGGAACAGGGTATAGTTTTCAGCKATTTCACTCTGGAACAGGATCAGGGTWTTGACGTCCCAGCGGCACACCCCCACCCATGAGTTTGGGGAGAGTTCCCCACCCCCCCGGCTTGCGAGCAGACAGCACTTACGAAAATGACAAGAATCCAGGTAATCACGTAATGAAGTGAGTAATTCTTTTGTAAGGTCAATATTGTTAGTATATATTGTGCAAAGCCAAAGACTCGGCCGCTTAGATTGACAGACATACCTCTGACACAGCACTGATATATTTCTGATCAAATGAATATGACGTACAGTTGTGGCAACATTTGTTTATAGGACATGTCACATTCGATGAGTCGCACTTGAACTTTTGAGTTCCAAATGTAAAAACCAGGAAGCCAAATTGYACTGCCATTGGGATTTTCATTGCAGCGACGAACCAATATGCGCAGTGTTGATATCGACCAAACGACTTGATTTGGCTGAAAACATCGTCGAAAGTAACCTCTCTGTTATTTTTGTCTTGTTTTTCCATGATCTGACGCGATAAAGAAAGAGATGAGAGCTATATTTTTATTTTTTCACTAAGCGTCTGGAAGTGCAGCACAAATTCGTAAGAATAAATGTACTTTACAGATAAAATGGATTTAAATATAACGAAAGGTAATACGGACRAAGGTAACTAGATACCACCGCATTACTGCTCAGAAAATCATAACGCAACTGACCAAGAAGACTATAACCTCTGTTCATGTCCTAATACATAACGAGCATGCAACTATACACAGTTAGTATGGAAACTAAACAGTTTACCTAGCGGTTTTAAACACCTGAAATACGAATCGTCCATTCTTATCGCGTGACTTTTATATTCTCTCGTGAGTAAGTACAGAAACTAAATCCTACTGATACGAGCTTTCGATGGATTTGGCACTTGATTCCACAAAAATCAGTCCATGATTGTGATTGTAAGTGCGATTTACTAGCATAAAAAAAAGTTTCACAATATRATGTTCTTAAACATGGTATTTGATTGATTGCCTAGCATGGCATATGCGCACGTTTAATTTATACTTCTTATTTTCTTGGATATTAAATATCGTAGTTTTTTACATATACATAATGATCGTTTTAGTTCTCAAAATACCAGGATGATTGAATGCAGTGCCACCAATCGGCTGAGCTGATCACTATAAAACTTTGATAAACTGATGAACYGTTGAGCATCGAACTTCGTYGACCAACCTTACAGAGCATAACATTATTTCTCTGACGCAAACTTCTAACATTTCATCTCAATTTTCCTGCCAAGACATGTCTAGGCTTATCCTTAGACCTGACATGTGCAACCACTTATGAAAACCATGGGGAAATCGTAATAATTAGTAATAAACTAGTAATAGTACTRAATATACTTGAAATATAAGTCCAAAAGATCCTAATTTCTGGTATTGCTGTAAATAAAATAATAAATGCATAAAGATAATAAAATTTTACGATACATATCTAAGAATTTRCTATGAAATCTTGCGGACTCGACATGGCGAGGAAAAAACATTAAGTTGGCAGACATGATGCCGACGGTCACATTATCACTAGAAACGCAAAAAAAGACAACTAAAAACCATTTCAGGGGAATTTCATCAAACCCTAATGACTTCACTGTGATAGTTAGTTTGCCTCAAATGAAGATATTTTCTAGCATTGTTCTCAATTCTTAGTTAGTTGGTAACTGAATCTTATTTGGCACTACATAGTTGGGAATTGTTTCATGCTTATGTGACTTGCACTCTAGCATTTTTGCGGACTAATTTCCAACTCAAAAAATGTTCTAYTGACACACGCTAATTAATTAAAACATGAATATTTATAACATCGTCTGAAGAAACCAAATTTTTATTTAACTAACAAAATGATGCGATTCTAATAAACTGATTCTAATAAATGATTACTATTGCAGCTCATCATTGTCTCACCATATTTGGTTAAGACGCTTTGATTGGCTACTCCTTAATGACTACCAAACTGTGCAGTCGAATTAAAAAACTTAAAAAATAATAAAAAAATTCATCACAAGTAAGGTAAGTGACTGTACGTATCATGACTCCGAATTGATATCTGGCAAAGAGCCCTATTTCCACTTCTGATTCGCGTTCATCCATCRATAACACATTATTCATTTTCATTTTCATGTTCAGAATTTACAAACCTGGCTGATTGGTTCGCTGCTGCGCTATGCAACTATTCTCCCCAAGAATTGTATCGTTTGATGTGCTACTGTGGAGTATRCCAGACTAAGGTCAATGCCAAGTTGAGTTCTTATTTTATTTGGGATAGTACATTGTATTATATTTCAAAAACAAAGGATAGATAAAGCTGGACTTTGTACAGTGACAGTAGCATCCTCCTCAGGCTACACCTAAGGAAACGGATTTTTTTTTCTATTCTTGGTCTTCCTGTGTTGATTTATCTTGACCGAGATGTTAGGACCTGCGAATTTTCTGCCTTAACACAGGAATCCCGTGGAATAGAGTTGCTTGTGAAGGATCGGAGGCTGCAGTGACAGCAGCAAGTTGGATTGTGGTGGAAAGCATTTACAAGTAATAACGCGTAATTTTCATAGTCYCTTCGTCTGGCCTCTCGATGAAACTCTAATCTTAATTATTCATGTAATTATTCTCGTAATTATTCATGCTATAATGTTATACTATAATGTCATACATACGGCATCACAAGGGACTGAGGTSAGTATTAAATTACTAGATAGTAGAAATAAAGGAATTAATTTAATTAATTTTTCCGAATTTATTTCCAAGGGTCTTTCTCCAGGAATAACTCCTTCCCAGCACTACAACTTTCCTTTACTTCTCATCATGTATCTCATAGTGCCATATGCGGTCCTTACATTCAATCATATCTTTGAATTACTAGAAACGTTGGTGTAATAACTAGAGAAAGGATGCATGATGAGAAACAATCATTGCTGCACCGATAGCATGGATTCCTTCTTGGACATCCTARTTTTATATGTACGGATAGTTTATTTAAGCAGCTGTGTAATTGCCGTTAAAACGTATACGGGGAATAACTTAAAAAAGGACTACATAGAGCTTGGGTTTATGTGTTTGAATATAAACAATTTTCCAAAAATCAAGTTAGTGTCTCATTGACTTCATCGTCCTCTTTTTCTTCTACCCAGAGCTTAAGCACTTCCTCTCTTTTATTTTCTTTCTTTCCACAACAAGGCACGCTATAGTCTAACTGAGCCTCTTCTGTTGCTTCAATKGTCTGYTCCATGTTAGCATATAACGTTTCTGGTAAAAGYAACGTTAAAAACGCCGCTGAAATACCCAAAACCCCAAATATACAGAATGGCACGATTAGGGAAAGACCGGGTAGTTGCGCCTGGAAGAAAGAAAAAGGAGTCRTTTGGATATTTTACAAAATGGCGTCCGGAAAATAAACTATTGTTCCTGACTTACCATCATAACAAAGAATGGAGCTAAGATGGCTCCAAAGCGAGCTGTCATCGATCCGACACCAATTGATAGGTTCCTGGAAGAACAATTAACGCTTGTTTTAACACATTTTTCAGTGATCGCAGAGGAAGATCAGTGAAGAGGGCAGGAGCAAAGAAGGAGTMGGGGGAAATGGCCTCATAGATAGAAATAAAGACAGTTACATTTGAAATGCCTGAGGKATAAGGGAGGAATGGGAGAACTGAAACAATGTAGTAGATTTGAGGTGTGACTGAACCCTGTAATACACAACTTTTGATTATTTTCAGTGTTTAATTTTCTTTGACGAGTAAACCTCTTTCCATTGAGTGATTAGAGAACTTTGTCGAAAGCTTGGAAAGCAATCTTATGCAAGATAAACGGAACACCTTGAACACTCACTGCAAAGTTCATGGACAACAAGTACCTTAGTTCATCTTGGAAGATTTTGAAGCGATTCGATCAGTGCTCAAACATTGCAAAGGTTTTTTTTTGTAAACAGTTGTAGTATTTTAAAATCTCTTTAAGTCACTTCACCTGACAACGGTTGGAAACAGCTCTGACGTCCACATGTATATGAGGGTAAACTGACAGCCCATCACAGCTTTGCCTAATATTGCAAGTGCTGTTTTCACTTGAGGCACGTCTAGGGAAATATACAGTAAGTCTGCAATTCGCCCTCCTTTTTTTKKTTTWKTGTCAGTCAGTCAGMTTCAGTCGGTCAGGATTTGTTCCGTTCGAAGAAGAAAGGAGAACTACTTACCTTTAGGAATGAWAGGTAATGTAATGAGGGCGACTGCAGCCAGGAACATAAAACCAGTGAAAGTTATACGACGCCCGAAACTGAAAAATACAACATAAAATAATTAAAATAGATATATAAAATGTAGAAACAAGTAGATGTAGGAGCAACAGTTAGTGGCATAAAGCACCAGAATACGGCCATACTTGTACAAAATATTCAGCTTAGACCCGCGGCGAAGTCTACGAAGAATCGTCGTTATAACAGCCTTTTACTATTGCCCCATAGTGAACTAACAATTTGGATATGTACCGTCATTGAATTGGTAAGACTATAGTCAGTGTTCAGTGATATCTCCGGAAAGATTTACTATTTTCTATTTGTACCAAGGCTAAATAGCGCACTGGATAAATCCTTATCCAGAGACCAACTACTGGAGAATAAAGTAGTCGGAGACTTCATAATCCCATTTTTAGTTAAATCCCCTTGCATTAACTGCATGAGTTCCAATTGGTCTCGAGTTATAGTCGGTTTAATAACTTACCGAGCGGCAAAAATCCACATGAAAGTGATTGAGGGAATATCAGCAACGCTCATTATTGCAAAGTTAATGAAAATATCGCCGTAGAGCCTTGGCACAAAAAACAACATAGCGAAAAACAAMAAAGACACCACAAACCTATAAGAATAATAAGATTAAAAATCCATTATTGGTATAATAGGAAATATTTGAGTCAATTCGTATTCGTAATCGACTAATTAGCTCACCAATTGTAGCAAGCAACCAGACTAAAGCGTCGAAGTCTTGGTGWTTTGAATAAATCGTGGATATGGAACTTTTGATGGACTTTCTGTTTTGCAAGCTGAGCGTCCCTAGCTCTCTCTAACGTTAATCTCAGTTGCTGTTTGTCTACAGGTTTGTTATTTTTGCCTCCAAACCTTTCGAGGATGGTTTGAGCCTCATCCAATCGACCTTGAGCTACAAGCCAACGCGGTGATTCTGGGAAAATCCTTCAAGAAATTGCAATTTTAAAGATGATTAACCAATTGCACATATTTTTCAATACTAATGATTGCAGTTCTTTTCAATTGTCTTAATCACACCAGCCCGGCGTGGCGTTTCTATTCTACCCTCTCAAAATAAAGACTTTATTTATTTATGTTTCTATTCAACGATATCAAATATTTCACTTAACGTTTTCTGAAATATAGAAGCATGTGCATTGTACAAACAACACCATATTTGGCCACGAGAACAAAAATTGTTCCACAATGCTATTTGAGAAAATGCCTATGACCCCACTACTACCATATGTATGATCTGGTTAAACATGTCATACATTTATAACAAACTTGTCACTCTTTCCTTTTCACCAAACAAATCGTGTTACTCACAGATAGAATGGCAGGAAGATGAATCCAGGTATCGAACCAGCAATGATGGTGTGTCGCCAGTAAGGGAAGAGGTATACAATTACTGTATTCAATGCTCCTCCGACTTTCCACATCAGTGTCGTGGCTATTCCAGCAAATGTTCTTTTTTTGGGTCCAACAATTTCGATGGAAAATGCATATTGTGACACCATGAGAGAAATCTGGACAAACCCAACACAAAACCGAAGAATGCTAATAGCAATTGGTGAATTGACAAAGGCACAGCAGAGAGAAAAACAAGCCTGAAAAAATATAACAAAAGACTCAACACTTTAAAAATTAACATGGAAGGTGATCGACATTATTCAGAGATAAAACGTGCAGTATTGGAGTCAGTATTTGCATGTATTTGTTCAAAGATTTCGAAGACAGTTGGTCAATGTTGCAATTTTCAATTTTGTTGTTAAAACTTGTTGTTGCTACGTTTATTAATCCGCAACGCTTTCGCATCAAGCTATCTAGGATATACGGATTGTTACTTACCGTCAGAAAGAGATTGACAAAGATACATTTCTTTCTTCCAAATCTATCAGMAACCCATCCTCCTGCAATAGAACCAAACAGCATTCCCCAGAAAAAACTTGATTGCATGAAAGCAGTGACATGTGCTCGATCACAGATGAGAC